TTTTAAGAGACCGATTTCAAATAAAAATTACTTTTCAGTGATACAAAAATCACAAAGCATTTATATGAGACAAATCCTAAAGTATCAAACTAAATTAATGCTTTTTATTTATTTTTGTCATTGGTTTCTTCTGTTATGTATCCTTACATATAAGATAGGTGCAAAAACAGATGTTTATACACAAGTATATGTTGACAATTGTTATTTATAAACTATTTTTATATCTGAACTATAGATAAGGGTGTAACATAGGACACCATGTTTAAGGATAAAGCCATATAATTTTTTTAACAAAAAATTTCATTTGGTGCGGAAAGAAACTGATTACTATCCACAAGCTCTAATTTTCTACTATTTGTATCCCTGCAATTCGATGTTGTAAACCTTACAAGTAGTCCCATTTTGAAATATTAAAGGTTTACAGAATCAGATTGTAATGATATAGGGAGTAGAATATTAGAGTTTGTAGCGATTTATTACTTCAATTGAATTAGACCATTATATTTTTTTATTAATTGAAACAATAAAGGGTAAAATCTTGATTTCAATAATATCTCACGAAATATCGTGTTTAAATGATCTAACTGACAATACGATGAAAGTATCGATTTTGAGTGTGAGTATAGAGAATATCTTGATTACGTTCAAGTGAGGGAAAAATATTGATTTATTTCCTTTAACTTTGCAGTCAGCGCATTTCAACTGTAATGTTCATTGAAGTCCAAACTATTTCAATATAATCTATGAAGTGGTTTGGTTCAATTACAAGAACCCTTGATTAATATTGGTTTGGCTTTGGTGTTACCTATTTTGTTATGCTTAATGCGTATACTATAAAGTCAAAGTATGACAACTTTGTCGGGATTAGACAAATTAAAACATTTAAAATCCCTCCATAAAATATAATTTCAATAATTCTAATCAATATTTTGTAATGGAAACAAAATTGATGAATTTTCATGACCAAAATGTGTTAAACAACGAATTTGAATTATCCTTAAATATGTGAACATATTTAAAACATACCGTTTTTTGCTTTTAATGTTAAACCCTCTTTTTGTTTAAGTTACACATTACACGATCATGATATGAGAAGAAAGCTTTAAAAAAATGATCGGAGTAGTTTTAATTTCATTTTTTCTCCTTCCTTGCAACCTGTCATGACAGTTGAATTTCGTATGCCAACATTTTATCCAAAAATATCTTTTCTTGATGCAGATAGCTCATGTTACTTGTTAAATTTAGAAATAAATAAATAAAAACAATTTTGTATCTATTAATATCTTCAGAGCGTAAAATTGTAAAAATCCGCTAAATTTTGCATTTTTCAGGCAGATTGTTTGCTTTAATTTCTGCTCATTCATTAAAAGATAATTATCGGAATTTATAGATTGTTGTTTTAGGAGGATTAAAGTGTGACTTGTTTTATTACCCTCTAAAATTCTAATTTGAATTTTACATCCTTTGACGGCTTTTAGTTATATTAAAAAAGGAAAATCATGTTTCTATGTTATTAATTTATGCTATAAAGAATTTTTTCTTGTCTCTGTTATACATGACTACAAGTCTTCTAAGTTTCTTGTCTATTTTTCTACTTGTCTACTTGTCTTAATGGTTTTCTTGTCTACTTGTATACTTGTCAACTTGTCTACTTATCTACTTGTCTACTTGCCTACTTGTCTTCTTGTATTCTTGTCTTCTTGTCTTCTTGTCTACTTGTCTTCTTGTCTTCTTGTCTACTTGTCTACTTGTCTACTTGTCTTCTTGTCTACTTGTATACTTGTCTACTTGTCTACTTGTCTACTTGTCTACTTGTCTACTTGTCTAATTGTCCTTTTGTTTTCTTTTCTACTTGAATACTTGTCTTCTTGTCTACTTGTCTACTTTTCTACTGGTTTACTTGTCTGCTTGTCTGCTTGTCTACTTGTCTACTTGTCTAATTGTCCTTTTGTCTTCTTTTCTACTTGAATACTTGTCTACTTGTCTACTTGTCTACATGTCTACTTGTCTACTTGTCTACTTGTCTACTTGTCTACTTGTCTACTTGTCTACTTGTCTACTTGTCTACTTGTCTACTTGTCTACTTAATAAATTGGTTATATATATAAATATAATGGTTATATATAAAAATTCAGACCATTAAACTTAAATCCTATCCGTCGCTAAAATTTTGCCTAAAATATACATTTTCTGAATAATTCAAGATTTATAACCACTGGTCGAATTAAATGCATTTTTATGCATATTCTGTCCACCCAAAATATACAGATATAGATCTGTTAAATCATTTCTCAGAAATATATTATTTGGTAAAATGCACTAAAACGGAGTTACAGTTTATAGATTTCTTAGTAGTTATTCTCTTTCAATAATATGAACTACGGCTTCTTATAGGAACTGTTTTTAAATCCCATTCCCCCCTCCCGACCCTCCCCCCCCCACAGCTTGGGAAACTGATCACCCCTATTAGTTACAAGTAGATGTGTTGTAAGGTGTGGTTTCAAATGAACTGGCGACACAAAATACTAATCTTATTCAGGGGCTGACTTTTAGGTATACGGAGGAGGGGAGGGGGGGGGGGGAAAAGATTTTCATACATCTTACTTCTATTCTATAATTTATCATTTATCAAACTTAGATCAACAGTGCTTGTTATTTGTAGCCCCCTGATTTCTACTGTTCGACCTGAAGGACCTGTGTCTAATGCCTAATCAAAATAGGCTTGGTTTGGTGGTGGTTACCCTATGGACGCAATATAACCTTGCAATATCAACCAGTATTTTTCATTTAATAATTTGCACGCAATTAGTAAAGGAATTGAGTTTTTGCCACAAACTTTGATTTTCTAATCTCTATATCTTTTCATTCTAAAGACCTTAGATATTTCAAACTATGAATTCTCTTAGATCGAATAATCTCAGTTTGAAATATAAAAGCTTTACACTGTTAGGTTACAAAGAATTTGTGGCAAAGATTCAATTCCTTTTTTAAAATTTTTGTCTTAAATATCTATTTAATTTCAATCAAATCCATTTGAAAGTTTTAATTTGGGATAATTTGTAATTATATCTCACAAAAATGGTTTTAATTTGTTTTTATTACAACAAATTAAATACTGTATTTTGTTTAATCAAATATTTTAAAATGATAAAACTCATTTTATTGGCATTAAACTGTACAAAGGATTTGATTAATATCTTTACATTAATTAGCATAATAAACTTCTAACAAGTGTCATGCTTTTGATTTTGATTTTATTATTAAACAGAAAAAAAGAAAAACCTAAAAATATTATATTTCGTTTTGCATGGTATTTCAAACTATACAAAAATTGCTAAAAAGAATTTAATCCAAATATTGTTAATACATAATGCTTGAAGGAAAAGGTCGAACCCCCCCCCCCCCATCTTACTTTGGCTTGAAATAAACAAAATTCAAGAAATTATTTTGCTGGGAAGATGTTTAGCTTTGAAATTACTGCCTTATTGACATTTTGCACACATCAATTGTTGACAAATTAAGAACAGCTGAAGTACACTTCAATGTACACAAATCTGAAGAAATTCCTTATATACGTACATTGTACATAATGTCTGGGATGGGTTGGGTTTCAAATCCTGTATTTTGCGTGAAATGGTTTAACCGGAATGTGTTGCCCCGGGCCAAATGTTTTGCAAAAACCAAGAAAATTTCAAGTTGTAAGCGTTCTTTTTATGAACAATAGACAACTAGAGATTACATAAGGAATTGTTTATGATAGTTTACGTCAATCACAGGGCTTTACATTTATAGTGAAATATCCCCCTGACCTCCCCCCCCCCCGAGATGCAAATTCTTATATCTTTGCAATTTAATGTACAGGAGAAAATTGATATTTAAAACCAAAATTTATTTTGTTATGCTTAATGCGTATACTATAAAGTCAAAGTATGAAATATTACATCATCAGAATGCAAAAATATAAGAATATGAAAAATATATTTATAGCTTCTTTGTTTGAAATTCTGGCTTTCAACTTTTGGTGTAAAAGTATCTAAAAAAGTTAAAAGATTAATCTAATTTTTTTTCTACCTAAATCTGTTATTTTTTCACGGAGGAATATTTCTTGAGTATTCATAAATGTGTTACATTGGTCACTGGTCAATAAAGAACATTTTTGCTTATGATGTCTCTGCTGATAATTAGACTGATTGCTGTTTTTTTGGTTGAAACTGATGTCCGTTAATTTCTGATGCTAGTCTTATAAAACTCTTATTTTAATTATCGGGTGTAATGTACAATTTGCAATAATCATATATCATATAGATATTTGGCATGTTATCATCGTTATTAAAAACTTGTAGATTTGTTTTGAAAGTTTGCGGATTTTATCGCATTGGTTAGCAGATTTTATAAACCTGACCCAGGTGTCTAGAAGGTGTCTAGAATGTGTCTATAAGTTGTCTGATTGGAAGGTGTCTGATTACAAAAAGTTGCCTGATGTTAATCATAATAATGTTAAAGTATACTCAAGCTAATTTCCTTTAATGGACTTTGGTTCCTAATATAAGTTTACATTCGCCCCCCCCCTCAAGCCCTTACTCCTCCAGCCCCCCTCCCTCCATCCCCCTCCCTTCATGTTTGACATTACTTATTGTTGTTTGGCTATTGTAACAGTACCAGCTTATCTTTCTATAAAAAAGTAAGGATTATAGATCAAAAGAAATAGATAAACAGGGTTATCTATAAAGAATGAGACTTCAGAAACGACTGAATATGATGGCGTACCCCAATCAGGTTAGGGAGCTCCTAGACAATCCCTGGCTTCTTGATTTCATTTCTTTTCCAATGTTATTTTCCTGCAGTTTTTAGCTTTTTTTTTCGCAGAATGATTTTTTAAGAAAATGTTTATATAACCTTCAAATCGTTATTTTGATTTCTTGTTTTTAAAAACCTACAAATTGTTCTAAAAATATTGTGGCCCAGGATTATAATATTTGATATTTTTATTATAATTTTTCAGAATAAAATGATAATGTGAATCAAGCTGGCATTATTTAGGGCATGCAAGGTAATTAATCATAAATCTATTGCTCTGACTGAGTTAAGATTTCGTCGTAAAAACCCTTTTTAAAACCATAACAATCCGCGAAACTATTTTCCCGCTAAAACATTTCGGTATTGCCTTTTTTATTACCCTGTGTGATTTCATGCTGTAAATCTGATCAGGGGTAATTCTTTTTCACTAAAAAAATAATAAAAGCCAAAATGAATTTTTGATGTAAAATTAATTTTTTTCTGTCACCCCTGGACAAATTTTGATTTTAATTAAACCCATCCTGTTCTCTGTTCTTCGTTCAGCTCGAACAATTTAACAAAGTACACGTCATAAACTTCAAAATTATATTTTATTTAAAAATTCTTTTCTAGGAATCTGAAGTTGTAGAAAAATTTTTCTTTAAACATGAAAATAAAGTTTTTGTTCAAAAAAATTGCAAAAAAACGGTCCTGAGTTTGGAATTTATGAACTGTAGATTAACTACAGGGTGTCCCACATCAAATAAGACCGCGTCAATGGGTCTAAATTATGTTAAATGGACAAATCAGAAAATTTAAGAAGAATGAATCATTTTGAAAAATTTAATAAGAAATAGATTCTTCGAGTTTTTTTGTGCGTATTTTGGTGCTAAAGATTGGAGATATTCTAACATGATATGGGGCGCTCTGTAGATTAGGATAGTTTCAGTACCTCTCCTGTCCTGGTTCAAGTTGACCTCAGTGGCTCAGACAGAAGGTTTAAGTCAAGTAATTCAGACAATTGCACATTTTTACAAATACGAAAGATTAAGTTTTTATTGTTTTATTTACTATCAATATTTCAGGTGAGATGGTGGACTAAGTTGGAGTAAATGTTGAAAATAAAAACAGTCGTGAAAATAGTACTTTCCTGCAGCATCACATTGTCACGGCAAATAGAGAGGAAGCTACTAATTATGTAATAAAAAATCGAGTTTAAAGAATACCAAAGAATCAAGAATCGAGAGCCAGTAAATACATCTGGTGTTAAAAAGTGAATATTAAAAGTGTACAGCGTATCATACATAATTGTAAAAAGTGCTCAAAATTGTACAAAAGTGTTATAAGTGTACAATAACGTACATCGCGTACAGTGTGTACAGCAATAACGTGATGAGTTTAAGAACAAATTATTACCATGTGACATACTATTGGGATTTAAATCGTGCGCAATGTTGTGTGATTGTGATTAAGACCTGGTAAATATCGCGAGCAGGCGCGAGTATGGAGTTTGACCGGCAGTCGCTGGAAGCTTGGCAGCGGGATCAGCCGCTGTCAGTTCTACAGCTAGATCCAGCTGACAGAGCTGTACTTAGAATAGCAGGTAGAAAATAAGATCTTTATTTTTAAAGGTATTGTCTGCAAAATTTCAAGCGATGTGTCCGATGTGTCCAAAAAACAATTTTTAATATCCGGTTTTATTTAAACAACGTGACAAAGGTTTTACGCAGCAACGACGAAGGAGGAAGCTTGTCAAAATCTATCTCATTTTAAGTTAGAAAAACGACGATATCTTCCTTACTGCTTCTCAGATAAAGTTTTAAAGGGTACCTTGGTGAATCGGATAGGGGTCACTTGAAATTATGTTGACAGTGCCTTTAAAATAGATTATCAAGTACAATAGATGGCAACAGACTAATGAACCAATTATACACGACGTCACAAGTGTCAAATATAACAAGGAAAACAAAATATTCTCACAATGGTTGACATGTTTTCAAGGTTTAAATAAAACAGTGTAACAGAAACTAAAGAACATAAAATTGAACTTATTTTACTGTAAGATTAGCATTTTATTTTAAAATTATCACAATTATTAATAATTTTGACATTGTCGGACACAAAAACTAAGTTGACACTTGTGACGTCAGAATACATTGCACTAGAATCTATTTGGTGCCTTTTCCTTTAACTTTGCAGTCAGCGCATTTCAACTGTAATGTTCATTGAAGTCCAAACTATTTCAATATAATCTATGAAGTGGTTTGGTTCAATTACAAGAACCCTTGATTAATATTGGTTTGGCTTTGGTGTTACCACTAAAAATATCTAGCATTTTGCTATGATAAACTTCGTTCTAACTTTTCTGTTAGAATATGGTTTAAATCGCTTTATATAAATTAGACAGAAATAGTTTTTATTTTAACAACAATTCACACTGCACATGTAGTAATTAACACGTAACTTGCTTATAATTAAAACATGCCTGGTCTTTGGGTCTGTTTTTCTATATAGCTTGTATACAAATAAACTAGTTGAGCCTATAAACACTTACGTAACTTTATACATTATACATCACGAGATTTAGGACGAAAATTCATGAGTTTTTGTTATTTTTCGATCCAATGTTTATTTAAAAAGTATTTTTTTTTAACTGTTCGATATGGATCTAAAAATTGCCAGACTAATTCGCCATAAAAAACAGTTAAAATTATTTTATGGCTGATTTTTATCAATTAAAAGATGAATAACATGCATTCAATTTTGAAGGCGCGGCGTTTCAAAATATAGTTTTTAGACGTTCAGGGTTAAGTAGAAATTAGAAAAGAATAAACTTTTTTCTTTTTTATTGCTGTAGAACACTTAACCTACAATAACATTTAATAATAGTGAATAAAGGAAATTATACTTATATACTTTTCTTTTGTATTTTATTCTTCCTTACCTCTCACGGGCAGCCGTAGTACATTTGAAATTCCGAGCCGGGTCAACCTTTCCGGTCCCAGTTTGTACTGTGCATAGCTCTATGGACACTGGGCAGGACTAGCCGGTGCAACAAGGTTGACGCGGTCAGACTTTATACTTCATAAAGGTTGAATTTACTTTTACTGAAGGGGCAGAGGTGCGTGAGCTCTTTTTTTCTTAGGATCCATTGCGCTGAACCAGACAGAAGGAGACTTTATGTTAAAACTTATTATGTAACAAACTTAAACTTCAAAACGGTGTTGTTCTCCTCAATCGCTCTTTTAATAGAAGTGTTGAATATGATTAAAAAACATTTGAGATTTCAATCTAACGTATCATTTGGAAATGCCATTTCATCCGTTCTGTAAAGAATGGTTCTGTATTCAGCTCATGAATGCTTCTTGTAAGTTTTGCTAGTTTCTTGTAATTTCTCTATCACCTAAAACAGATTTTTTAAAAAATTATCTTCCTTCTTGGTTGATTTAAAAGTTACAATTCAACAAAAAGAATGATATTTAGATATAACTGACAATTTAAATATGTTTTTTTTTTCGATGTTTTGATTAAAATATCGTCACTTGGGATCCGTATATTTACCAGGGAGTAATGATTCTGGATCCGGATCTTAATCACTACTTACCACTTTCTTGTATATTTAAAGTTAAAATGTATTCCAGTTTCTTTGTTAGAAACATTAGTTTTTTCCACAAACTCAAATATCTAAGGTCTAGAACATAAAGGATTTAGAAAATCAGAGTTTGGGGCAAAGACTCATTTACTTCACATTATTACGAAAAAATATGACATTTAATGATTTCTATTAAAAACTTAAAGCTCCACCTTTTACTTGAAGCCCCTCCTCTTTGTAATGTTTCAAAGCAAAGGGTTTTAATCATGCAATAGCAAGCAGTTAACTGCATTAATTTAGAAGTAAAACAAGCTCCACGGTTAATAGATTTAATAAATCAGCTCAGTCTCACAACCTACATTAAATGAATAAAGGAGTGTAGAGTAGATCCAAAATATTGTAGATCCAAAATATTGTAGATCCAAAATATTGTAGATCCAAAATATTGTAGATCCAAAATATTGTAGATCCAAAATATTTTTAAATGACGTTGCCCTTGAAATGTTTTTCTGATCAAGTATGAATTAGATTTCATTGTTTTTAATTTTGAAAACTGATTATTTTCAATTGTGGTTTCTGTGCAAAAATGACTTGTGCATGTCTACTGCAGGAAATTCTGAATAATCTGAATTGAATACTTCTAAACTTAAAAATCACTTTTACATTATTGATCAGATAAAGTTTTCAAGATTACCATCGTGAATTAAGGGTTACTTGAAATTGTGCTTAAATTGGGGTTACATTTATAACTTTTTTTAAATATTTGAAGTAACCTTTTGGAGATTATTAAAATAAGTGAAAAAAGCAAAAAGAAACAGGATTATTATAAGTGGTTTTAAGAGATTTTTCTTTCCTATGAATTTCCTTTTATTTAACAAGCTAGAGAGAGGGGTTACATATTTTTAACAACTTCATAAAACGTTTTCTTAATAATTAGAAGGGGAAATGTTTCTCAGAAATAAATAGGAGAGGGAAACATTTTGTAATATGTTTTCATGCCAGAGTTTTATAATTTTCAACGTTCAATGTATCTACCAAGCTCTTTTAAACCATAATTATGTTTATTAGTTTTAGAACAACTTTGCTAACTATAATGCAGGGCTTCCTTTTAAACCATAAATATGTTTATTAGTTTTAGAACATCTTTGCTAACTATAATGCAGGGCTTCCTATTAAACCATAATTATGTTTATTAGTTTTAGAACAACTTTGCTAACTATAATGCAGGGCTTCCTTTTCAACTGCAAAATTATGCAGAAAAATTATCAAAATATAATCTAGTATTAATGTAGCAAAAATATAGGCCCATAGTAAATTATGTTGTATATTGTCCATATAGCTCATAGCAAACCGCGCCCAGTGGTAGTGTTGTTGATAGTTCACAGGATTGTAGCCGCGTGGATCGTGTCCTGTTTGAGACATTGATTAATAGATCGCTATTGTCCGGTTGACATAGCTAACTAGATCGCGCCCATTGATAGTGTTGTTGATAATATAACGGGATTGTAGCCGTGATAGATACTTATGGCGAGAAATTGTTATGGAGTAGGCGTTCACTACATTAAAAGCCAGGAGCATATATTTTCCAATTAATATTTTTTTAAAGTTTTCTTCAAGTTAAAATTGTTTCTAAAAATTTTTAGAAGAAATGTGACAGGAAAATATTTACCCCTTTGTCAAAAATCAAAAACTTAAATTGATAAAAGTTGTTCATCCAAATATCCATAAAAACTTTTATTTTATGCATAGACTAACATCACATTGAACTTCTGCTCATTTTAAAGTTTTTAATCCTGGATAATATAGAAAAATAATTTAGGGATAATATGGAAAAATAATTTTTAAGATAGATAGGGATAAGGTAAAGAATGGAATGAGATATGGTTTAGATAAAGAATGGAAAGAGATTTGGATAATATAAGGGATGGAATGAGATAAGGATAAGATAAAGAATGGAAAGAGATAGGGATAAGATTAAGGATGCAAAGAGATAGGGATAAGATAAAGAATGGAATGAGATAGGGATAAGATAAAGAATGGAAAGAGATAGGGATAAAATAAAGAATGGAAAGAGATAGGAATAAGATAAAGGATGGAAAGAGATAGGGATAAGATAAAGAATGGAAAGAGATATGGATAAGATAAAAATGGAAAGAGATGGGGATAAGATAAAGGATGGAAAGATATAGGGATAAGATAAAGAATGGAAAGAGATGGGGATAAGATAAAGACTGGAAAGAGATAGGGATAAGATAAAGAATGGAAAGAGATAGGGATAAGATAAAGAATGGAAAGAGATAGGGTTAAGATAAAGGATGGAAAGAGATGGGGATGAGATAAAGAATGGAAAGAGATAGGGATAAGATAAAGAATGGAAAGAGATAGGGATAAGATAAAGGATGGAAAGGGATAGGGATAAGATAAAGAATGGAAAGAGATAGGGATAAGATAAAGAATGGAAAGAGATAGGGATAAGATAAAGGATGGAAAGAGATAGGAAGAAGATAAAGAATGGAAAGAGATGGGGATGAGATAAAGAATGGAAAGAGATCGGGATAAGATAAAGAATGGAAAGAGATAGGGATAAGATAAAGGATGGAAAGAGATAGGAATAAGATAAAGAATGGAAAGAGATGGGGATAAGATAAAGAATGGAAAGAGATCATTTTTAGGTAATTCCTTCAAAGGTTGTTTTTAAAGAGGTTGTTTCTGATCATTTCAATGAAACGTAATTTGCCAGCTACTTAATTCAAACTAAGAACTGGGAGTGAATGTATAGTAGTATCCCGTCTACGGACCTATGATGAAGAATAATTCTAAGGTCGATCTATCCATTTTATATGGTAGTGTACTATACTTTTTATAAGTAATGTACTAATTATTTCAATGGAAAGAGATAGGGATAAGATAAAGAATGGAAAGAGATAGGGATAAGATAAAGAATGGAATGAGATATGGTTAAGATAAAGAATGGAAAGAGATAGGGATAAGATAAAGAATGGAAAGAGATA